CTGAAAAGAACGGGGTTCCTAAATGAAATATCTTCAACAAATAATGCAAGAAATAAATGAATCTTTTTTTTAAAAAATAATAATAAAAAGAAGAAGGAAAAACCAGCCATGAAATGAAGCAATTCATTCCTACAGGGAACTTAAAATTCTGGTTCATTTCACTTGAACTATGAACTATGCACATTTCACATTAACTGTGAACTGTGCACAATAAATTATGTATAATTTAATAGTGCTCTAAATGAACATTCAGATATTTCTGTATTACATGTCCATGCATATGCTTATGTGTGCAATGATCCTATGATTTCATAGAATGCTAATACTCTATCTGTGTATCGTTCACAGGACATATACAACAGATACAAGAACCAGATTGTAAAGGATCAAAGGTATTTGTATACTAAAGAATAGGGGATTACTCATGTAAGATTTCCATTGGCAAAGATGATGACGGCATGTTGCAAAGGCAACACCTCTCAGGCTGCAATTGTCTCCTGGTCCATTATGTTGTTGAGTGTGGCAGCACCTTAAGGTAAAGTTTGCAAGCACAATTTTAATATGAAATAAAGAATGCAGTGAATTACCGAAACCAATAATACTGACAAAGTTATCTTGACATGCATTCCCTAGTTAATTATTGGGTGACAAACTGAATTTGCCAACCTGTGGCAAGACCACATAAATGTTTCTCAATTGCAAGGTAAGAAACACCCCCTAAAGTTTACACATTATTCAAGTCCAAATCATCAACTGCAATAGTTAAGTTAGACGATAGATGCGCAAGGGGGATGTAAATTGATAGTATTCAGTAAATACATCTATACATGTAATGTTAAATATTGTCTGTTTATCATGTTAAATGTGTTAGAAAACCAAATGAGCTCCCATTAAAGATAGCCTTCAATAGTTTAATAGTGATTATGTATGGAACTCTAGGCCCCTGCAAGGTCCCCTGAGCACTGGGCCCTCTAGCACTATTACAACACAATTGTTTAATGAACTTTCATCGTGCAAGAGCAATTTGAGGGTGGATCAATGCAACCATGGAAAAAGCATATTTCTGGCAGGCAAGGTTGAGAGATCCTAAAGATTCTTACCAGAGGCATTTCAAATGCCATAGAGTCTCCAACAGGTTTCTTTGAAACAAACACCATAAGCATATTTGACAGGTAGATGATACCCTGGGCTTTTAACTTTACCTCTAGGAGCTCTAATAAGAAAGACACCAACTCGCCAGGTTAGAATACTACTATGGAATCAAAACCCGAACAAAATTGCACTTTAGCGCATCAAGCCTACAAGTATAATGCGAAGATATTATAATAACTCTTTCCTTTTCTATTATTGTTGTTGGCGCATTGATTGCCACTAGAAGTTCAATGAGTTTGAATTTTTTTTTTTTCGGACATTACCATTGGTTGGTTATCCATGTAAAAAACAAATGCCACAAAAAAGTATTTGCATGCCAAAAGCCAAAATCATATTTGAAGTATAGAAAATTGAATTTCTTGTCCAAAATATTCAAGCTTTATAAATATTCAATAGCAAATATGTGATAGTACAAACTAGTGGTAAACATAGCATCACAATAGGAAGAGGTCACAGGCAATCTTCATATACAACATGCTAACAAGTTTATAGTTGTTAGCTAACAATTTAACCACTTGTTTGAAAATTCCAACCAATTTCCCAGAAGAGTAGGAGAAGACCACTGTTCTGGTTTCTTTGTTTTACCTACTGCAACAAGTAAAAATGATACCAAGATGGATGATTACTTATCAAGTGAAAATGACAAAAACTTGATAATATGAAGGAACTCAACTCCCCAAAATAAATGTTTCAGAAACCAGCATGATTCTGCCACACAAAATTAAGGGGATTGCATCGCCTTTACGTCACCTCTCGGCACTACCAAGCATTTCCACACTTACCTCTATATCTCGAATATCTCCTCCAAGCTTGCCAAGCATTTTGCACGTGCACCCCATAATTTTTCATGCATTTCTCGGGGTAAAACATTTGAAGTATTCATTAGAGTTTTCCACAGAATTTTCAGCACACAACTAAATGCTTTCATTTTCATAAAAGATTCCCTATTATTGTATCACATTCTATGTACCTATTCCGATCATGGGGACCAAGTTTTACTAACTTCTTTTCTCTTTTTCAAGACTACACATGAAATTGCATTTCCAATTGAAATTTATCAACCAATAGACGATACCTTTTTTCATGGTACTAAAAGGCAAATTTTAAACAAATTGTTCAGTGACCAATCTGACATGATAATGAGACAGTGTTGAGCCAAAAAAAAACCATCCAGAAGGTAGACACACAATACCCGAAGCTTTCAATTTCAGTCACAAGGACCTACTGCTCTTTCCTACAATCACTTAGTGCACATCATCCGGATCCTCCGTAGTAATCAGAAACATTGGGCGGTCCTATAAGCCCTTCTTGTATATGATACACTGAGTATTTTTCCAGTCCACTTCTTACCCAGTAATAGGTTAGCCTATCAAAGATAACCAAGGCATAGAGGGACCATGGAATGCCATAGATCCCACCTGACCACTCCAAAGACAAGGTTGTGGTCACAAAGATCAACAACTGCATAGGAGTGTCCTGATCTCTTTCTTCAATGCAAGGGGAGTCCAACTACATGCAAACGATGAACCAAGTACGCCTCTCTTACCCATTTTGGTCCAATGTCATTGTGATGCTTGCGTGCTAAGTAGGATGCCATGCAGATGCTTTTAGGCACTCGCCTTTACAAGCCACCATCTCATTGCACAATAGGGTCTTGGTTTCCTCTTGTCCCGCTTTGCTCAATAGAGTCTTAGTTTCCTCCTGGCTCAGCATCCACCCGCTGGATCTTCTTTGGTTGTGCCTATTACAAGGACTATACACATCCACCACGTTGGATCCTCCAATTCAATGCCTTTTCACATGCCAAGGCGAGAGTGATGGAGCCCCCTATATCCTAGATACAATCAGCTCCAACCAGCTCTAATAGCTTGTTTCATCCAAGTAAAGCCCTACTCTAATGGCCTTTTTATCCAATTAGAGTACACCTTTTATGATGATCTTTTTCTTCCAAGTAGCGCATATCACATGGCCTATTTTATCCATAGAGCCTTCCTCTCACAACATCTTTCACCCATGGATCTTTCAAAAAACCAAGCGGTAAGGCTTTTAAAGGCGATTTTTTCGGCTTCCAATGCACTCTTGCCATACGAATTACACTGTTATTCATATTACATGTACATGTTTGACCTTTGCCCTGATAGAGCTTTTGTAATACTTTATATTTTGTATCTCGTTTCATTTGTGCTTCTCATACTTGGAATATTGGATTTCTGTTCGTTTCCAATATTTTAATGGAAACTACTAAATGCCTACTTTCTGTTGAAAATGCAATTAGTGGAATACTAAAGCGAGCTTCTAATGGGGAGGGAGCCTTCAATTGGTCACTTTTAGTTTCAGAATGTTGGTCCACTTTTTGGGCATTATGTCGTAGATTTGGTGCGGTTATTTTTTGTGCATGGTTCTTTGATATTGCAAACATGAAGAAAACACCCACTTTACTCATTTGAAAAACAGATCAGAAAGGGGAAAAAGAAAGACGGAACTATAAATCAAGACCAAGTAGCTTGTTAATGCTCCAGGAATGACTGCTTCAAATAGACACCAGTATAACTTGAACTTTTTCATTAATGTTAACTAATGGCTTTTCATATCCTGCTGGGCTTGCAGGACCTCACCTTGTTGCGTAGCAGCTCAAATGATTTTGAATCTTTTGGTTCATGAAATAATGTATCAAATTTTATGGTGAAGATGGCAGATTGGGGTAAGTTCTCGTCTCCTTTCTTTCCTTGTGAAATGAAGATGAACTGCAGTTAATATTTAGTGTTCAAACTGAATGGATACTTTGTATGGTTCAATATTCTAATGCACTAACCATGGTATTGCTGGACCAAACCATGTGAAGTTATGAACATTTGTCACCATGGGATGTGTAGGGTTATATGCATGCTCATGAGTGTGGCTTGCTGCTGGATGTCAACATGTGTTAGAAGGCTTATCATCTTAAACAAGGGAGTCTAAAGTGAAAATAGTCAAGTCTTTTGGAAGAAGATGAAATATAAAACCTAGGACAGGCCGCCTAGTTAACGACTAGCCATTTTTCAAAAAATGCCGCCTAGGCGGCGATCGAATTTTTGTTCATTGATACTATGAGACCATGGACCTTTGTTGAAAGGAAGTCATAATTGTTGTGAGCCATTAAATGTCAAATTGGATGGCTTGGGATGTCACTAAGATGGAGCAATGTATCTTGAAAACTTTGAGTTTAACAATGACACTCACAACCACTCAATTTGAAATGTGATGGACTAGTGTGATTGTTATCTCCTTGCATTAAAAGTAAGTAAAAACTACTAAAATCGCCCAAGTTGGATGTTCTTCTTGTAATGCCTCCAGTTGAAAATCTTTTTCATCCGTTATCCCAAAGTAGTTCTTTTATTTCACTGGCTCCCCAAGGTACTCTTTAACTTTATTTGTAATAAAAGTGCCCTTATTAATGTTTCATATAAAAGTAAAAAAAAAAAAATCATATTTTTGTCGTTTTTTATATTTTATTTTTCTCTTTCTTAGCCCACCTTCCATTCGTAGTCATCTCTTTTAAAATTTAAATGGGTAGGTTAGTTTCTCTCTCTAAGGCTCTCTTTAGAAATGTGAATAGGTTTGTTGGTTTGTCTTTCTTTCCCATTCTCTCTAAAAGCATGAATTGATTTTTGGTTTCTCTTTCTTTCCCATTTTATCTCTCCAAGTAGAAACCTATTACATCTCTAGAGAGTGAAACTAGTCCATTTTCATTTTTAGGGAGGGATATGAATATGAATGAGACCAGCTTTGCTTTATGGGGCGGAATGTTGGGCGGACAAAAAACAATATACCCACAGAATGAGTTTAGCAAAGATGAGGATGTTGAGATGGATAAGTGGCAAGACAAGAAGGGATTGAATTCGAAATGAATCCATTTGGAAAAAAATTTGTGTAACACCATTAAGTGATAAGATGAGAGAGGCTAGACTTTGGTGAGCCCAGTGCAACGCTTGTTAGGTGGTGCGAGTTAGTTCAAGTGGAAGAATTGAAAAAGGCAAATGGTGGGCCCAAAAAGACGTGGTTGGAAGTAATTCAAATGGATAAGGAGACATATGGCCTCATTGAGGGTGGCCTTTAATAGAGTAGAATGGCAGATCAGGATTCATGTAGCCGACTCCAATTAATTGATAAAAGGCTATGATGATGATGATATGAATTATGAATATGAATGTGATTTGGGCTTCCAATCACCGCCCCTTTGTAGGAATTTCTGCTAAATCTTTTCTTCGCGACTGGAGAAATATTATGTGCCACCGTCCCCGCAAGCCCAATCGAACCCACTGGTGGCAACCGCCTAACTTTGGTTCTATTAAACTCAATTTCGATGGCTGGTCCTTTAGAAACCCAGTCCACCCAGGAGCTAGAGGTGTGTATAGGGACCATTGTGGGGCTATCCTGTACACTTATTCGGTATACTTAGGCATCCGAGACTCCAAATATGCTGAAGCTATGGCCCTCCTAGGTTTGAAAAGTCTCAACTCCTCTTGGGGACAAAGGTTTAATGTGGAAGGGGACGTTAGGAACATTATCACTTGGGCATCAACGGATTCTCCCCCTCTTTGGTATCTTGCACCTATTTTTGATGAGTTTGCTAACATTTGCAGGGATATGGACGTCTCTTGGACGCATACCTTGAGGACATCAAACAAATTCGTTGACCTCCAAGCAAAGGATGGGGCTAGAGCGCAAATTGAAGACACATGAGGATAAAGGACTGGTTGTTGCTAAACTTTTGCCTTTTAGCTTAAATTTTCTACAAAGGAATAACTCGTAACCCTATTTTTTGTAATATCATTGTACATCTTGTAACCTTTACGCCTGTACTTTTGTTATAGAGCAGGCTTTTTACTTACCTAGAGGGTCCCATGCTTAGGGACCCTCGATTTTAATACTTGTGTAATTTTTCTATTCAATGAAACACAGTTAACTTTCAAAAAAAAAAAAATGAATGAGATTAGGCCTGGAGAGAAAAATGAGATAAAAAAGGAAAATATATAAATGTTTATTTTAACTTTTGTAGAAATCATTAGTAATAGCATTTTTGTTGTTAATAAAGCTAAAAAACGGCCTTGAGGATTGAGTGGGAAAAAAAAGACTTTCGGGCAATGGGTGAGACATTTTTTGATGAGAGGAATTATAAGGAAAACATCTAACCTGGGGGGGGGTTAGTAATTTTACCTTCAAGTAAATGGTTTCTTTGGGTACCTTTCCTTATCGATAATATCTCATATACACTCATCATTATCATAGCCTTTTCCCAACTAATTGGGGTCGACTACATGAATACTGATCTGCCATTCTGCTCTATTAAGGGTCATACCCTCAGTGAGGCCAAAAGTCCCCATATCTTTTCGAACTCCTTCCAATCACATCTTTTTGAGCCTACCCATTGCCCTTTTCAATCTTTCAACTTGAACTAACTCATACCTTCTAACCGGTGTTTTACTAGATCAGTGCCACACATGGCTAGCCCACCTAAGTCTACTCTCTCTCTCATCTTATTGTTTATTGGTGCCACACTTAAGTTTTCTCGAATGGATCTATTTTGAATTCTATCCCTTCTTGTCTTGTCGCTCATCCATCTCAAAATCCTCATCTCTGCTACACTCATTTTATGGGTATATTGCTTTTTGTCCACCCAACATTCCGCCTCATAGAGCAAAGCTTATCTCACTGTCCTATAGAATTTGCCCTTCAGCTTCATTGGTATGCGGTGAACACATAAAATTCCAGTTGCACATTTCCACTTCACCCACCCAGCTCTAATTTTATATGCGACATTTTCCTCAATCTCTCCATTTCCCAGGATTATCAACCCAAGATATCGAAAGTGCAGTCTTTTTTGTACTTACTGACTGTCAATCTTAACTACTTCCTCGTCTCTTCTCTTATTATTACTAAACTTGCATTCCATATACTCTATCTTAGTTTGACTAATTTAAAATCTTTGAATTCTAGAGCTTTCCTCCAAAGTTCTAACTTTATGTTGACACCGTTTTGGGTCTCATCGATCAAAATTATGTTATATGGGAATCACATGCACCAATGTACCTCATGCTGTAGGTGCGTAGTTAAGTCGTCCATAACTAAGACAAAGAGGTACGGGCTCAATGCCGACCCTTGATATAGGCCTATTGTTACTGAAAATTCACTCGTCTCTCCATTAGTTGTTTATAGCACTCCATTGTGAAGAGACTCATTTCTTTTCCAATACCTGCCAAATCAAATATCCCATACACACTAATAAGTTTTATAATGTGCCGAAGCTTTTACAACAAGTGTGGTCTTATTATTGGACTCTTAGGTTTGTAAAGAACTTTGCAGACCTATTAGGCCCTAGAAGGCCCCTAGCCTTGGGTTATATGGGTGTGTCATCATCATCATTCAAGCTTTTTCCCTAGTATCAAGGTCAGCTTTACGAATCCTGGTCTGCCATTTTGTTCTATCAAGGAAGATAGCCTCAATGAGGCTATAATTTCCCATATCTTTTATTGCTATTTTCAATCATATCTTTTTTGGCATAACTCTTACTCATTTTGAGCCTTCTACTTGAAGCAACTCATACCCCTTATCATGCGATTTACTGAGTCTGTGCTGCGTATGGCCAACCCACCTAAGTCTTGTTTACCATACTTGCTTGTTGTCAGCTATAATATATACAAGGTGATTCGATCCTAGACTAATCCGTTGCAGGCTTAATTATATGCACAAGGCGATCTGGTCCGGGTCTGGTCCATTGCCAGTTCTATACAATTTTGGGGAGAGTTTAGGATTTAGGGTCCGCCAGTCTGCTCTATCAATGAACATACCCGCTGTGAGGCCATAAGTTCCTATATCTTTTCTAACTATTTCTAAATGTGTCATTTTGGACCTTATGCCCATTTTGAGCCTTCTACTTGAACCAACTCGCACCTCTTGACATGTGAAATTATAGAAAATCTCCTGTAGGATCAAACAATTCCATCGAATTGAGTATGATTGTATGTGTATAGCATCTACTATACCAGGAATATTAATGAACCCAATTATTGCAATTGCTCAGGATATCTTCTTTTAACTTCTAGGGTCTATTTCTTAGTTCAAGATCCCTCTTACTAATTGGAATAAAAGAATTAGTAGATCTTTTCCGCCCAAAATGGGAATGGGCTAGGGTTATGAACTTATAATCAAGGAATCAACTTGATCATCAAATTATAAGTTCATTCCATACCGGACCAGGCCTGAAGGAATAGGGTTATGTACATTATCGTTATGAAAAGGGTCAAACATATGTAAATGGATACTATGGATCCCTATGTCATTACATTCCATTTAGGTTAGGAATAAACGTAATCAGACCTGATTTTTACATATCTATCGCTTTGGTTTAGGCCTCTATTGAATCGAGTATAGAAATACGTTTGATTGTACAAATTTTATAAGGCATCCTCCAGATATATATAAGGTATGTGCTGCACATGGCCAACCCACTTAAGTCATGCATACCATGCTTGCATGTTACCAACTAAAAGACATACAAGGGTTTAGGGGTTTAGGATTTTAGGTTTAGGGTTTAGGAAAGGCTTTAGGTTCAGATGATATCCGGTAGAGGTTTCGAAGTGCATGGGGGAGATTGGCATTAAATGGCTGACCAAGCTGTTCAACAAGGTGTTAAGAACAAAGAAATTGTCAGACGAACAGAGGAGACGTACTGTGGTACCTATTTACAAGAGCAAATGAGACATACAGAATTGTGCGAACTATCCAGGAATCAAACTTATGAGCCACCTTATGAAGCTCTGGGAGAGAGTGATCGAGGAGGACTAAGGCATGAAACGAGTGTATCAGAAAACCAATTCGGTTTTATATCATGGAGGTCAACAAGCGATGCTATTTTCCTACTTAGGCAACTAATTGAGAAGTTTAGGGCAATGGGAAAAGAGCTCCACATGATCTAGAGAAATCTTATGATAGAGTACCTCGAGATTTGATTTGGTGGGTGTTAGAAGCGAAAGGAGTTTCTAGACAGTCCATCGACTTGGTGTGAGATATGCACGATGGAGCGGTAACTAGTGTATGCACAACTAGTGGAGAGTCAAGTGAGTTTTCAGTAACAATAGGTCTACATTGAGCCCATACCTATTTGTCTTAGTTATGGACGAATTAACTAGGCACCTATAAGATGAGGTACTGTGGTGCATGTTGTATGTGGGTGATATAGTTTTGAACGATAAGACATGAAATGATGTGAACATAAAATTAGAACTTTAGAGAGATGCTCTAAGATCTAAAGGTTTCAAAATTATCCAGACTAAGAAAGAGTACACTTTGATGATATTCTAATGTACAACATTGGTGAGCAGGTGCATATGGAGCAGTTATAATTGGTGTTTACTTGCTACGGGAACAACAATTGTATTTGAATCATAAAAAGTGTGAATTCATGACAGATCGCCTCATCTTTTTTGGCTATGTTGTTTCAGCTTAGGGGATTAAGGTTGACTAACGGGAAGGTGGCATTTATTAGGGATTGCCCTACTCCTACTACAATGCATTATGTTCGTAGTTGTCATGCGTTGGCTACTTTCTATAGGAGGTTTATCAGAGGCTTTAGTTCCATCATAGCTCCTATCACAGATTGTTTAAAGAAGGGGGATTTGTATGGACTGATGAAGCTGAGAAAATTTTTTCAGTTGGTGAAGCAGAAGGTGACTGAGGCACTCGTGTTGTATCTTCCAGACTTTGATATAAGTCTTCGAGTTGGATTGTGATGCTTCACATGTTGGAATTGGTGCAGTGTTAAACCAAGAAGGTCGCCCTATTGCCTTCTTCAGTGAGAAGGTGAATGACACCCGCCGACGATATTCTACTTATGATGTGGGGTTTTATGCTATTATTCAAGCCTTAAGGCATTGGCGACATTACTTGATTTAGAAGGAATTTATTTTGTTCTCAGATCAAGAAGCATTAAAGTATATTAATGGGCAATACAAACTAAATCAGCGACATGCCCGATGGGTAGCCTATTTTCAGGAGTTCACTTTTGTTATTCGGCATAAAGTCAGCAGTCAGAACAGAGTAGCAGATGCTTTGAGTAGAAGGTCGACTCTATTAACTACGATGGTGACTGCTATTACTAGGTTTGAGTTTATGAAGGATCTTTATGCAGATGATGACGACTTCAGGGAGATATGGGACCAGTGTTATAGTGGAGTTGTCTGGGATTTTTTTATTCAAGATGGATTTTTCTTTAAAGGAAACCGTCTTTGTATTTCTATCGGTTTCCTTAGAGAAACCCTAATAACAGAGCTCCATGGGGGAGGTCTTGGTGGACATTTTAGTCGAGACAAAACTATAGTATTGGTGGAGTCTAAGTACTACTGGCCAAAAATGAAGAGAGATGTTGTGCGGTTTGTTGAGAGGTGTCGTACATGTCAACTGGCTAAGGGGCAACGACAGAATACAGAGCTTTACTCTCCACTTCCTATTCCTAATGCCCCTTGGGAGGTTGTTAGTATGGATTTTGTTATGGGACTTCCGCAGACTCAAAGTGGTATGGATTCTATATCCGTAGCGGTGGATAGATTCTCAACGATGGCTCATTTTATACCTCGCAAGAAGACTCTAGATGCCATACATTTTGCTAACTTGTACTTCAAAGAGGTGGTGAGGTTGCATGGTGTTCCAAAGACAATAACTTCAGATCGGGATACGAAGTTTCTCAGCCATTTTTGGGTAACTTTGTGGAAGAAATTGGGCACTCGGTTACAAGTTAGTAGTGCTTATCATCCGCAGAATATAATAGTGTGTGCAATAGATCTACTGGTAAAAGAAGAAACAATGGGACCTAGCACTGCCTCAAACCGAGTTTGCTTATAACAGCGTGTGCAATAGATCTACTGGTAAGAGTCCTTTCGAGGTGGTAAAACTAAGTTGGGGATACTGAAATT